CTAACTTTCTTCTTCTCTCACCTGGTTTAAAAGGGAGAAAAAGAAGTGAAAGTGAAAAAGATTTGTTTTTAACGGACAGTAGAAATTGCAAAAACTTCTGTCCTTCATTTATCAGTTAGAATGAGCCAATAACTGAATTATCCGAGTAATTTAAACGTATGAGTTACACAGGTCTGCAATTAGTGAAGAAATTGAGAACGTGAAAACGAAAAAAAAAAGATAACTGGAAAGAAATCTTTTAAGAAGTAGTGTTTATGATGAACAAAAAAGTTTCCCATTACCGTCTCTCTTTACATTACGCCATGGGGCTACAATAGGTTGGTAGTTTTAGGAATTCTCTGTAGTCTCTTATGGATTTTAAAGGTCTACTGATTTATTATTATCATGAATTCTATTGTTGACGTGTTCGCAAATTTGTCATTATCCCTTTTCAGTACTGAGTTCATTCTCCTAAGCCACAGATCCCATACGTTATATATATATATATATATATATATATATATATATATTTCAGTACCCAAAGTTATTTCCTTTTTTATTGGTGCTAACCGGTATGTTACGTAGCCGGTTGCTCCTAATGGAATTTCTGGGCTGACAGCAGTTTCCTTCATAACTGTTTGGCATACTGCTTAGGATAGTTTAAGTATTAGTATAAGTTTGGTCAGAATCCAAGAATATCGACGAATAATTCAAGCATCCACTTTTGTTAACTGTTAATTACTAAGTTAATCATTTACAGGTCAGTTATTTTGGCGCTAACTACCTCACTTCTGTTTGCTAATACAGTTGTCAGTTTCTCATACCTATTGTGCAAGCGATTTTTATTCACTCGGATTTCTCATATCTCAGTGAAGTGGAGATCAAATCACTTAGTGAATATATAAATAGTAAGTGCTCCAGTTGACCATTTACATCAAAATCATGTCAATCAACAGTTATTACTGCATATCTCCAATTTACGATAAATATAACAGCAATCAGACAGAGGTCAAACTGTAGGTTGCTAATGAAGCCATGAGTGGATGGAATTTTTTGTCACTACATGCTTATCCACACATTGCACTAAATTAATATATTTCCATCTGTTTATAAGGTTCATCCAGGTACTCAGAAGTGCTGAACTCTTGTAATATCTCAAATCTATTCTTTGAATCTTCGTAATTTAAGTTGTTGGATTTGGATACTGGAAATGTTAGTAGTTTGAATAACGGTTGTTAATCAATAATCTCATTAATAAGACAAGTAGATATTGCAATGTATCAAATACCGATAAGACATACTACATACATACCTATTGTGATCAATTAGGTGAGGAAATATTGAAAAGCTGGAGGAATTTCTTTGACCAGATAGTGTGGTATTCAGCAACTAACAGCCTACTGGATAAATGCATATTCTTCCCGCCTCAGAGTAAGATATACATATTACGAATCTAGTTGGATAGCAAATGTATATTATCTGCATGAACTTGCCAAACATTACTGTAATACACTGGTGGACAATATTTCTAGGATAATTCATTGTTGTTTATCGTGTTGTTGACGTTACACATTTTTGACACTCGATTCGTATAGACCTAAGATTTTTTAGTGTTTCATTTTTAGCGTCGCTAAAATGCTCGGAATATATAATGGATTGTTCTTGTTATATGTATTCTGTACTGAGTGAATAATCAAAAAATCATTAGCCATCAGTCAGCTGAGCGAAAAGATATATTCCTTTTCAATTAGTTATTCATCAGCAGTTCTACACTAGTATACAGTTTTTTAAAATAATGCATATAAATTACACCAGTCAAATGATGACGTGTTGGTCAATGGAAAATATCAACTTTGAGGTGCAGGAGAGGTGTTGATAGTTTCGGAAATAAAGATAATATTTTAAAGATAAGACCATTTAAAACAATTATATCATTAATTATTAGAAGTTAGCGACAGGATATTTTATAATCCATAGTTCACTAGATAATAGTAATTAATTAGAATAGGTAGGTGAATCTGTAAATAATTTCGTAGAGAGACTTAAATGAGAAGAAGTAAAGAGAGGTAGCTAAAATGACAATAGCTATACAGTGTTAAGAGGTGTGAAGAAGCAGTAATTCATAACATCTAATAAGTGTTGTTTAGACGGACACCATAAAGTAGCGGACTGTATGAATTTTCTTTGGACACAGGGATTTGATCTATTCAGATAAGTAACGCTTACTGCTGATGCTTATAAAAATTGGGTTTGTGGAACAAAAGAAATGTTATACGGAATATGATGAATAATTCTAAAAGCTCTGTTCATGTCAACTTTATATGCCTTTTCAGTAACCTGAGCTAATATAGAACTAAGTGTCGATTTAATCGGTCTTTTGCCCAATAATGATGAATGGTCTTCAGAAACTGAATGATGGACTTGCGAATAATTGTCTCCATGGGTGATAAACGGAAAAATGTCTTCGAACAAATCTTAGTCATTTTCGCAAATCAGCTGTTATTGAATTTCATTTGTTTAATTCCTCCGGACTATGTTTTTTCCTTTCAAGAAGTGATTTATTTTTAACGGGGCATTTTGTGGGGTGAAAATCTGTTAAGGTTTCAAAATCTAATCCTTTCGAAATGTAATTTGTTGATAGTTATGTTATTGTTGAGAAGATAGTTTATAAATTCCAGAGATATGCATCAATGAAGCCATCATGTTTATTAAAATATCACCCTTTAACAAAATATCCTGTTTCGACGAACTTGTGACTGAAAACCACACCAATAAGCCATTTTTATGAAAACTAATGAAGTCACTAACGCAGAAGACATAATGCATTATAAAACCATTCCAATATTCATATTATGTTTCAGTGCAAAGAATTCATTTACACTGTTCCTTCCTGAAGCACAAAACAAGACCTAATGATGCATAAAATTCTGGAAAATTTACTTCCGATTCTTTTTTTCATTCGAATATTATCCTAATCAATTTTAAAATAATTTCATTTAACCATAGAAATTAAAACAAACTACAGTGTGTTCCTAAGTTTTATTTCTCCTATTTGTTTGTGTAATAGATGTCTGCAAACAACCTACATTTATCTTTATTTATATTTTTTTATTTTTGATTACAGCTTGATTCCACACTGTATTTTTGGTACAAGTATGGAATTTTCAGCATGGCTATCGGTAGCCCAAATTTCGCAGGCCGACCATAGATATCAGGTGTGCGCCGGCGTGGGCTTGAACCCCGGACCATGTGCATGGTCGGCGAGAGTCCTAACCACTGTGCCACCGACTCACCTACAGTACAGTACTGTATATACATATATGTATATATTACTTTAAATATAACATAATGAATGCGAAATATAATATGTGATACTGTATTACATGTAAAGACTCACGAACACTTCAGGAAATAAAGGGTTTAGTGAATCCGTATTCGATTTAAGAATAGAAGGCTTGAAAAATATTTTCATATGCCATTGTATGTGCGAAAATTTACTTAAATATTTGGCCTGGTTAAAAATATTTGGTGGGACACTGTTGTAATTCTCAGTTGATTCATAAAGCAAAGAAATTAAAAAATCATGCATTTCAATAATCAGTCTTCACTTAGATTTAGTATCGAATGCTTTTATTTGAAAGTTTGATATAGTGTGGAGTCAATGGACAGAAGACAAGAGTAAGAAAAGGCTGCTTGCCATCACTGATGGTATTCTTGATTGAGATGGACTGCATTATGAAGCAGAACGTAGGTAGTGAGAGGACGGGCATACGTTGGACTGATGAAACGTAAGTGGAAGATCTAGACTTTGCGGATGATCTTCGCTTCATGCCGCTGAAACTTGGAAACATGCAAGAGCTAATAAGGAGGTAGAAGAAGCGAAGACACGACCTCAGGTGAACGTAAAGAAAACAGATAAGAGTGATGAAAATAACCGTCTGATCACAGCAACAAGCACACGTCACCATCTGCAGGTGAAATCTAAGGGTAATTATCTATTCCACCCATCTGGTTAAGCAGAAGCGTTTCAACTACAGGTGGAAGGCATGAGTGAGGACACTAAAGCCTGTGAGGATCAGAAAAGCAAGACAAACCTCAATTACTTTGAAACCAGTGTGGAAATCTGCTGCACTCAGCAGAGGTAAGAATATTCGAATTTTAAACACTAACGTCAGGTCGGTGATTCTATATGTTCCAGATATTTGGTGACCATGTCACAAAAGGCATTTCCGACATGCTCTCCTGTAAACGTTCACTGAAACCTACTTAGCTGATTTGATACTGAAGATCAGATGGCAGTATGTTTAGAAAGTATAAGAAATAAAGAAACGTAGAAACAAACCAACAAGAAAATTTTGGCCAACAAATACGCTAAAGAAAATGCAGATGGACTGGACAGACTCTAGGGAGGCCTGTGAGTCACTTCGCGTGGCAAGCCCTTGAAAGGACCCTGAATGTGAAACGAGTTGACATGGAAAAGATCGTATGGGGATATGAAAGGTTATGGTAGAGGGATCTAAAATAAACCTCAGAGAAAAAAGCAAATCGGAGATGTGGTGCTGAGGCCTTATGTTATACCAGGAATTCAAAAGACGAATAATAATGCGTATTTTTAAAAACATAGTGGGAAAGGTGGAGTTTTTTATTACCTGTTTTTCTAAATTAGGGAAATAATTTTAGACAGCCTTCACTAACCACTAATAACTTTCAATAGAGACAGAACTTCATTCTTGAATTGGTCTATCCAAAAATTATGATTAACACCTCTGGCTGTTTACACAGCATGACAAATTACTTATCTGTTGTAATTGGAATGAATTATTTTCTCCCACTATTTGCACTTTGAATTAACACAACTCGCCATCGCTCTTTTCTCATCAAAGTTCTGAATTCGGAGTAAGAACAGCTTTGAATAGCAACAAGATCCGAGAACACACCGATTGTTTAATTTAGTTTTTTCAATAAGTTATTTCAAATATGTTATGAGATCTTGCTCTAAGTCAATCGCATTCCCACAAATGCAACTTATCACTTTTATTTGCTCACTTTAATTTTGTATTTACCGCTAATTAATTATATTTGACAAATGGCACTGGGTTTGAGTCCTGGTTGGAACATCATCAGTCACCAAGAATGCCGGTATATCCAGATGTCGAGTCTCAGATAGGACGAAATGTACATCCTGGGTCTTATTTTTAGTTATCATCCACCAAATAACAAAGTATTTTGTTTCCCTGAAATTCATCTGAATTGGGTGCTAAATACCAATTTAACTCCTTTAGACTACAAACACAACATTCTTCTATTGGGTTATTAACTTTTCATTACGAAAGCACAAATAAGTGTTGTTTAAAGGCAAATTTTACTAAAACTGTATTTAAATCTGTAAAGAACATTTTTCGAGAGTTTAAGTTATATGAATAGCAGAAATTGTTAAAATTATATCAATATTTGGGCACCTAGTTAGTGTTAGCATGAACTTTTGAGCACAAAAGCAACGTTTTACTTCCCTTGATTAACTTGCCACAATTCAGAGTCACCATTCATATTTGGTCGAATTATACCTGATGACATTGCCACTCGTTTCATCTCTGCTTCACTGCGTAAATATGGAATTTGCTGTAGTTGTTGAAGTTGCTGGGGCTGTTGCTGAATATATGGATGTTGTTGTTGGCGACAGACATAATTTTGTGGATCACTTGAAACGCCTGCTGATATATCACTCTGATCAAATGAACCTGGACACTGAAGAGCAGCTGACCTCTGTTCGAATCGATGAACTCCCTGTTGTTGTACAGATGGTGCTGTATGAAGCTGCTGTTCACATGAAGAAGGTCTGGCTTCAGACATCAACAAGTGATCTCTGGATGTATCTTGTTTCATTCGTGAATTTATTCCAGATACATGACTGTTTGTACCAATGTTATTGATTATTTTGATGTTATTGGTTTGAGGAAGGTTTTCTGCACACCCTGAAGAATTAGGGGAGTTATTTATAGCACTCAGATTATTAGGTACAGAAGAGATAAGTCGATTGCTTGAACGTGATCGAGATAATCGAGGGATATCTGATTTCAGACGACGAGATGTAGTCAGACAACGAGTAGCAAACTTCAATTCTCTCCACATACCACGCCACACTGCTGCCTACAATGAGAAAGATATTGCCGTTCAGGTTTGTTAAAATTCAAATGATCATAATAGTTAAGATAATATCCGAAATACTTATAAAAACAAGAATCATTTAGATTTGTACATAGCCTTTTACTTTTTAGTGAAAGTCGTGTGAATATTTGCCAATGCACAATACACAAATGTCACATTCGTCCATGAAAGTATCCCTCGAATCCACGTTCGCCTATCCAGCTACTATTTCGCTTCTGAAATGTATAAATTACGTTGTTTCCAGTAAGACGGCCGAACACGAAAATCACTTTCCTTTCATTGATATTCAAAACACAGGAAATAATTAAATCAATTATGATAAAATAGGAAATAAGTGTGCTGAATGTGATGATAATGACTAACATTGTATAAATGTGATTTATCCCAGTTATCCCACAATTAATTATTACTGGTAAACGTTTTAGTAGATAACAGAGCATTGGTTAGATAGAATTCGTAAATATAAATATTCATCCTGTACTACTGAATTTCAAAAAAAGTAATAACATGAGAGTTTATTTTTTTAGAAACGTACTTATGGGTCTTAAAGATACTACCTAAAGAGGCACTACTCATCTTTTTGAAAAATGAGATGAATTCAAATAAAATTTAATGAAATAGTTATAAGAAGTTGAGTTCATCTCAATTTCACCACTAAATTGGTCTTGGGAATTCACACAAACTGACACATAATGAACTAAGTCATAATGGACACTGATTAACCAGAAACATTTAGGTTAGAATTATTTGTGTGCGTCGGTGGCACAGTGGTTAGGACTCTCACTGACCATGCACACGGTCCGGGGCTCGAGCCCGCGCCGACGCACACCTGATATCTATGGTCGGCCTGCAAAATTTGGGCCACCGATATTCATGCTCAAAATTCCATACTTGTACCAAAAATACAGTGTGGAATCAAGCTGTAATCAAAAATAAAATAAATAAATAAATTTGCTTACCTTCTTTTGGTCTCTTGTTGCTACAAGAAATTCGATTATAGACACAGCAAATCCCATAACAAAGCCGATCAACAACATAATAAATACACCACCAACTTGTTCCACTCCTAATGGACTCGGAGCTTTCCCTGATTCACGAAGCAAAGAACATGGTTCTGTGATGTTAAATCATTCCACCATACACGCTTCAGGTTTGCTAATATTTGAGCATTTTGCAGTTTTAAAATTGATTTTGACACGGGATCTCTCCAGGGTGAACCTTTAAAATGCGATAAATTAAGCAGGAGCGAAAGTGTGTTAGTTAATGAACTGTTAAAATATAGTTTATCCCACAAAACACACATAGTTTCCACTTGGTTCAATTTTATAGATTATGTAACTTAATTAGCACTATGGTTACACTAGTATTAGAGTAATCCTGAACTTTATTAGACCAGTGGTTATTTGTAGTAAAAGCATTTTAATGCATTGAATAAATTTCAACAGAAGTTAATTTGCATCTAAACACAGCCCGGATGAATGATGAAAACACTGATTAGACCATAATTATGTGGAAACATATAATTTTATACTACTATTCTTTGTTTTAGGTCGTATTTTACAGATATCAGATTTCTTATCAGATTTGATAGAACTCACCAAATTAATGGTTGAGTAAATACTTCACAATGGTAATATAATTATCCATTCCGATGGAAGGGAAAAGGTGGATTCTAATGGCTCCTAACCATGGTAGAACTGGGTAAAACTGAGATTAATTATACCATTAAGTGGTAGATAAATCAAATTACACTGAAATATCCACATAGCTGTATAAAGGAAAGCATGTTAGTATCACCAAATAATAATGTCAAGACAGAAAATGAGTATTCACTTGACCATGGCACCAAGTTACCAGCAAAGATCTGTACAGGTGTTCATTATGTCTTCAATAATTAAAAAAACAACAAATACGGAGATTATTCAGTAAGATGACACTCCATTTACGAAGAAAGAAAAGCTGAAACACGCAATATAGTATTAAATTCTGTTACATTGTGTATAATACATACCTGTTTTAAAATATAACCAAACGTTAGTAGGGGCTGAACGTCCTTTAAAAGTAACTGACTAGCTTCCTTGTTAATGAGTGATGTTTAGCACTCATTAAAAATCCCCAGAGGACACATATTTGTATGAATAACGTCTCGTTTCACCAAGTGATTAGCGATAGTGAAAAAGCTATGTTTTTTCTCTCAGGATTAATGGTTTATTGGGTCATTCAAGACAGGCTTAGAAAAATATTTAACCATGGGGTAAATCAGACCAACTGAAATGCCATATGAAATATACACGACAGACTTTGCCAATCAGTGTAAATCTTGTATAGTTCGTCTATACATTCGTGAAAGATCACACAGACGAGGCAGTGATATCATTTGTAAGTCGTGACTCAGATGTTGTCGTGTAGGGAAGTAACATTGTGGATAGTGTACAAATTTCCTAACAAAGTTTAGATTACAGTCATGTGAAAGTTAAATTTTCATTAAAAAATAAACTTAAGAATTATATTTTCCTGTGTGACTAAATATTCTAATTTATCAGATATAACGTGGATATTGTGGTATCGAGCAAATTTGTTACCGCAGATTATGCCTTCACATTTAATTCAGGGCTTATTATATTGCTGAGAATGAAAGTGATAAACCATCCAACTCAGAAAACACAATACTAAACACGATGAAGCCATTTCATCGTAGCATAAAATTTAGATAAATTTAAGCTAAAATACCTTATTAAAATAAGAAACACGGAGGAAGCTCATAGATTTTTCTATGCTTTTGGAAGCATACAACTATAGGGTAGTATGGTATAAAGTTGGATTCATATGATTGCAAAGTGACTGATTATCGAACATTTATCCACATGTTGAACGTGTGGTTAGCACGGAAGAATAAACGACATTAAATGAAGAGATAGGAGTTTATTCACAAACAAAATCAAAGGACGATGAGTAAATGAATATTAAATGCTTTTAATAAAAGCATGAAATTATACTCGACAACTCATCCAGCGAATAATATTTTACCATTGTGTGCTTTAGTAAATATTTATACCCACAGTCTTATGTAATACATAGACTGTTTTCCCTGTGACTTACCTTCTTCGTAATGACTTAATAACCACATTACCACAATAAGTCAAATAATTCATAAATTATATTTTGTTTATATATACTAACCTTGAGGGAATCCAATACCATAACCTTTAGAATCAAGCAGAGTGCCAACTTGAGTTAAACGACAGTCTCTTTGAGCGTAGTACTCATTCCAAGTTGATTCTAAGATAAAGGCGTAATTACCTTGAAGAACACGATCAATGCCTTCTTTTGTCGTCGATACAGTTGCATCTGGATATTTATCCATGAATTCACCCATCTTCTTAAATGTCGGCAGAGATGATGTCTAGTTTTAAGACATAAAATTATATTTCATGTTTATGGATAACTACTTGACTATTCTACGGGGTAAAAATACACCTAAAACATCTAAGTAAACATCAAACATTGAGAAATCATTCAATAGATGAATGCGGTAAAATTTATGCCTGGCTGGTGTTTTAAGAGTTTGCGTTAACTTCACCGTTAACGAAACTTAAACAATGTAATTCATTTATGGAAATATTGTGTACTGATTTATCATGCGTCTTTCCTTTCACCGATATTTATTGTTACACTTCACTTTATAGAGCTGGCAAACCCACACGAGTTGTATTAGTGTTTGAAAAACGTGCTGAAAATTGTGACGGTAAAGACTAACCTGAATAGCTCACAAGCATCCTGTGATACCAGTCTTATGTTCATATATCAGTTCACCTGTTCCCCGTGAAGCTAGATTTATTGGTCCTTCGACGCATTTAAAAGGATTCAAGAACACTATCTTGCATGGCTGCAGACAAGTAGGAGCGTACCCACAAGCAAAATAATGGTTGAACACATCGATATTGGCCCACTTCATCTCAAGTGACCTATAGACTAATGAGCAACCAACCATGGACAATACCTTCTCACATTGTTTCCCATTACTGGAGTCATTCTTTCCCATTCCTTAAATAATCAATGTCATTACATAACTCCATAACTCTTAAACAACTTCTCCTACGTATTGGTAATATTAGCAATTATGAAAAATTGTATATACAAGCGATTGTATGGCTAAAGAAAATGAGGATGTTTTGGCTGAATTGCTTGTTTTGTTTTCATTAATGCTTTAATGGGGATTATTCACGAATTAAAGTGGACTTGAACATAAAACTGACAGCTTACTGGTTATTTTACAGCACATTCGAAATTTTACCTATTCCGTTGTTTTGAATGTGCACTGTTCACTATGTCACAACCTAATTTTTAAACTTATAAGAACTTAATAAACAGTCCGTGTATTTTTCTACTTTTGTTTCCATGTCAATATTCCCTTGTTTTCAAACTACACGCAAACCTACTTTTTCACCTGTTATACAGAAATTTATAAAACAAATAGTCGTCACAATTTATTTAGAATGACTTCGTCTCTATTGTAACGTCATTACAAATGTATATATCACACACTGGGTTAGTGTGCCCAGATTCTAGTTCACGTAGAATTTTTCGTCTCTGAATGGTTTAGCGAAATGTCATATACTGTCAGACATCAGTCTGATTCCGCCTAAAAAGTGAACGCATGATTTTTTCGTCATTTGTAGACTTAAAAAGACTGCGTCACTTATTACACTGTGTATCAGTTAAACTGAGGAAATTTGTCAGATTGTGTAATAATGCACGAATTACTGAAAATGTACGAGCGTATTGTTAAGTCAGTTGTTATAAGATAACTTAGGAGAAGTTAAAGTTTATCATTTTCAAGAACAGAAAAATGTCAGCTCACTCGAAAGAAATCACGACTTGATCCACTTTTTAAGGTGCCATATTTAATCTTTTCTTGATTGGCTAAGTCTTCAGCACTTTCAATCGGTGATTTCATGTTTTCAACAGTTAAAAAGGCAGCCAGATTAGCCGTATATGTGGCGATAATAATCAAAGCGAAAAACCACCATACTCCCGTCAGCAGCCTTGTTGAGGTAGCATGTGGCGCCAGTTCAGTACCTTAATTAAGAATAAATTACTCAGTCACTACAGAATGAAGATTAAAAATGACTGGTGGTAAAAGGAACATTTTAAGTTCTGAATTTCGACTTCATTGAAAGAAATATTTGTTAATAATTCACAAACCCTAACTCATTATGAATTTCTACCAGATGGAGGCATCATGAGAACTTGTTGTCTAGTTTAAGTTACACTGGCCGTCAAACACAAATCCAAATCCAATACCGCTTCCTTCGTTTCTAACCAACTTTTTAAGGTGGAGTAAATCTCAGGTACTTTTCCCAAGGCCAGGTCTGAGTTACTTGAGTTCCGATACAAATAGGATAAATAATAGATTTTTTCAGATTGTGACAAAACACATGCGATGGGAGTTAATTTGGTCTCAATTATTTCCTCGATTCACTGAGCGAAGTCCGTAATTCGTTACAATTCTTAACACTTCAGACTTCAACCAGTTATTTGTAATGATGAACAAAAATTAAAAGTCTTGCATTATTTCTACCTGAATGACTACTAAAACTGTTTGTCTGAAATTTAAATGTGTATTACTTCTATTTCCTTGATACTCATTACGTTTCATTGATATGAATTACACAGACTACCTTTTGTGGCATCGGATGTGTAGAAGCATGAATTCTCAGCCAACGTGATTGGGAATTGGTGTAAGGTCATTCTTTAACAAGTAATAAACTTTAGGAATATGAATCTTAAGTGTTCACATACATACCTAGTGTTATATATATATATATATATATATATATATTTCTTCAGCCTCAAGCGAGTGTAACATATCCGTAGACGGAAATACGTTAACCAGCTAGTCTTTGTATCTTGCCTTTCACAGTTCTAAATTGGAACGAAGATACTTTCTTCAATTTATAAAAAATCCTCTTTATGCGGCTTGGTCTAATCTGATGATGAAAAGTACCTTAGAAATACTGTATGTATGAATGCACAATAAGGATATTTAAAACAGATGAGACTCACCTTGGTTGAGCAAAGCAGACACATTATAATAAAAGCTGTTCAATAATGTGAACTGATTTTTTCTGGTGTCTCCCCTTTCATCACACGGATGCGGCGCTGTCCATTCATGTGGAGACAGACGAGCTGCCACAAATAAGCATAAGCATACAGCTAAATATGTGACAATTACGTATAACCAAACCTAAAATGAAACAAATTGGTTTGTTAAGAGATGTTTGCCACTTTCAGTTATACTCCAAACAGCAACATATTAGATGCCAGAGTAAAAGCAAACAGATGTTGGTAACTTATGTTTATCTATAATTAGCAGTGAGATTTAGAATTTTGACTTTTACTACTATGTACGTGTATCACGAAAAGTGATCATATTCTCAACAGGGTTCATATGCAACACATCAATATTAAGGCTAAAACCTCGTCTAGCCGGTTACACACCAATATAAGTAATATTTGCAAGTGAAATGTAAGCCAATTCCACAATGACAAGCTGCGCACTGGACTAAAGTCAATGTTATAAACACTATCAATTGCATATCATCCACCTGAGTTACAAATCCTTTTTATTATTTCATAAGCTTTATGTGTTCTGGTAAGATTTGAGCATAACTCGATAACATACTTTTTCATAGAAACCGTCAGACAATCTGAACTTAAATGTTCATGTGTTCACTGATATAGGAAGTGATCAGATTTCTCCGCTTAAGTGATTCGCTTCATCGTGACTAAATAGACCAGCCTTTTGTTGACAACTATGCAATTATAGGCAAATCTTCGAAAATACTTCAATGGATGGAGAAGAAAGCATTCTATTGGAGATGATATTCAGATAATTTCTAGCACAGAAATACTTTATTATTTGGTTCTTATGGCTTAAAACTACTGCTGTCAGTTAGAATTCTTCTTTTTATCACAATCCGACCTAAAAAACGTACTTTTGTAGCACTGCTGTCTACTTTGCTTTTTCCTCTTACCAATAAACCTTATTTAAATTGATGATTGCACTTAAACAAAATTCTACCAGATTCAAAATAAATGCCAAAAGAATTGACACGTTAAAAATATTGTCTGGTCCACTGTCAAGTAGTGACAAATGATCGCGAGTGAAATTTATGAATATACTCCAAGAAATAATCGAAATTTAGAAACCCTTCATTTTGATGTGAAGTTACATAAAATGTTTAGTGAATCCAGAAAAACAGGGTTGTGTTTACACATGAAGACCAGTTGGTATTTAAGGAGTATTACAGTCGTTGATTTAGCATTGTATAGAATAAGTTTACTTTACTAATATGAGAATCATTTTAATGTATATCAATCAAGAGTATACATAACAGTCTTATTGAGTGACTTGACTAAAAAAAGAATAAAGTGAATAGCTTACCTGAGGTGAAAGTGGTTGAAGAAATGAAAATAATGAAGGTTTTTGACTTTTAGGTCTTGTAAATAAAATACTTCCACCCAATGTCATCCAAGGAGTACTAAAGTCGACAAGTTTTTCACGTTCATATGTTATTGTGAAACCAGCAACAGCCATATCAGCTTCCTATGCAAAAGAAAGGGGTTAATTGTAAACTTAGTTCACAGAGTAAATATCTTTTAAATGGATGACAATTGTGATTTACACAAACTGATACTATAAACTAATATAGTATTAGGGCTTCTCACATACCTCACGGATTAATTCACCCATAATACCATTGTAAAAAACTGTTCCATTTCCAAAATCTATACCAGAACCATACTGACGGTCAGGTGTTATATGCACTGTATAGTTAAAGCCTACGTCTGCGGCAATTTCATTCAACAAATCAATACAGTATCCCATCCATGCATCCGGAGTGCCGAGAGGTCTGTCATAAGCATCAAATTTGATTGGAATCATAAAAGGTGCATCCTAAAATTTCAAAATAAATAAATAAACCATATTTAGGTAGAAATCAATACTTTTTGGTCTACACTTATTGATATACATTTCTGTATCTCGTTTTTACCAAGATGTATGAATACATGCTGAAATGTAACACTTGACATTTACTTCATCTATTCTTGAGGTGTTTTTTTAATTTACCGTAACTTAAGTGAACGGGTATGCATTTCTGAGCCATTGTAGATAAAGGTTAGCTAATGCTGTGTCAGACACACCTTGTGTGTTTTGTTTTAATGTAATCAAAACAGGAAAAAATCGTTTTAATTTCTAATAGCTGATAAAGACAGAAAATCCACACTTCACCAAAACATCGAAGTCTAATCTTATCAGAATTTGAAGATTGCAACAATGTCGTGAACATCTCGATTTGAATGTATATTAAGCATTTGTCCAGAGATGTGTCTATCAGTTTTAAATTACCTCAATTAAAACGTCTTGAACGAATATTTGATGCTATACGTTTCTTCTACACGTATTTGCAAAATTTCAAAACACTTAGCAGTATTTCCTCAATCATTCTCTTTCTTGATAATAAGCTATTTTATTAAAATAAAACCTGAATAGCGCAGTGGTAAAAAAAGACATCAGTCTGATTCAACAACTGATTCCTATTAGGGACGTAATGTCAGGAACATCTTGAGTGCCTATGAAAATCCTAGATATAAAACTGATCCTCACGTAACCAGATAATTTAGTGTTGTCAAATAATGCAAGATTCATACCTACTATTATTACAATCATCCTTAAAGACCATATTAAAATCAGTCATAAATTGTGTTATTAGAAAATATACGAACGCGAACTTACAGGTATTGTAGTCACCTTGAGTACTACACCTTTGGTTTTAGGCAGCTGTTTTGGTAATGTGATTGCAGGCTGTTTTGCAACTTTCATTCTCTCATCAATATTCCATACCCCAGTCTGTTAAGAACAATTTTCAAAGTGATTATAAACTATAGGATTCGAAAATATATTTCTGTATCACTAAAAGTGTAGTTTAAGGTATTTAACTAAGATATGAAATTTTTTTATTTTTCTATTTACAGGGGAAGTTTCTGGCCTCATGTTTAACCTCCCCTCTTAACCGGGTCTACTCCTGTCTTAGCTATGTGAAGGAGTGCCTCGATTGGAGGTTGAACTCCAAACCATGTGAGGCGTAGTTGGCGGGCGTTCTACCGCTGTATCACCGAAGCACAAAGTGTGGACTGATAATCTATGATTCCATTTTTAAAATAATTTTAAACAGTGCTTACAATAAATAAAGTAAGTAGTAATTACGTAGTGATGTAATAATCATGAACTGGAACGTTGCACCATGTAACCGCGAACCCTAGTTATTAAGAAAATGTGGTTCAAAGAACAATCCTGATGAAATCACCCTTTTTTCTTAAAATAACGCTGTTAAAATTTATTAGAAAGACAAATAGTGTGGAACGTGTTTCAAGACCATATAACAAAGGAATAAGTACTGCGATTCGAAATGCTAACGTTATTTTACGAAGGCATTCCATATTTATTTCTCTGAAAATACAAATGAAAAAGTCACATATTCTGTTGCTCGTTAATCACATATTGGTAAGGGAAATACCTAGGAAAACTGTATTACAGCGATAGAAGAAAATTAAAGTATGTCAAACAATTGTATATTGCTAATGAGCGTGTAAAACTTTTCATTTAGAAGCATATAATTTCCTCATCGTTTGGTGAAGAAAATTGCTTTGTTTCGCATGAACTTGGGTGGTCACTGATGGTTTCTAATCAGTCACTGCCTTCTTCGACTTTATGACAATCATCTAAGAGGAATAAGTTAAAAAATGTGCATATCTGCTTATCTGACGTTCAAAAAAATATTTTATTTTGACTACTCTGTTACATCACATAATAAATGATCAAATCAGTTAAATCTATGTGATTATATAATTTATGCAGAATAAACTTCCACTTACTGGTTTAAATCCACCTTGTGTAAGTTCCAAAGTAGTCAAATCAAATAGTGTTCTCAGACCATGTTTATCGAAACGGAATGGACTTGTTAGACCACGAATTGTTTCAGATGCTACCTAAATATTTTGAAAAGATGTACATGCATTCTAGTGTTAGAGATGTATTTTGAAACATAATATTGTTATTTGTGGTATGTATGCTTCATTTAGTGCTTGGATGTGATTATGCCAAAATCATTCAACCTTTTCTAAGCATGTGAAAATGTTAAATTATGTTAAATTAATAAACACTATATTATATTTTACCGCTGTTTTCACTATTTCTAATTAAGACATTTACCGACCATTCGAGACCACATAAAATCAGCTTCGTTATCCTTTAACAACACTGAGAAGAACTTTAGTACTTTGTGTATAAATTTAGATTTCAGAATGACTGTTTGTCTGATCTCAAGTGAAATCTATGATGCAACTTTAGAATCCCTGGTAATCATGTTAGAAATCTTGATCAGATAAAACGTGTGCCTCTTGATCCAGTAGATTTAATTGTGCTTTTTGACTAAATGGAATCTTATGAACTTGGAGTGACCGAACCGACTAATAATCAAAGCTTTCTGTTTTAATACGTGGTTAAAAATTACTTATTAGCTGTAAATTCATTCCTTATCATGATATCAATTGATTCTAAAATACTATAAAAGAATCTGAACTAATCAGACAGATATTTTGAGTACTTTATAAACTTGTTTGTAAATGATTAGCATAATGACTTTCTTTAGTTCTGTAAAGACAGGAAGGGCAAACAAAAGAAAAGAACTGTGGTAGAGCATAATTCCGTCGTAGAGCAAATTTATTTGATAAAGTCTCACAGTATTTGACAGTATTTATTTACTGATGACATTCGAGTACAATTTATTAGTGATAATCGTGTCACAGTACTCCCACAACTTCCCAACTTCTTTTACATAAACGATCAACAAATTTACTAGTCGTATGAATGGATAAATGAAGGCGTGAGTACCTCGATGTAATGAGCAGTGAATTGTGCTCAAAATGTCATCAGTAAATAATACTGTCTAATACTGTAAGACTTCGTCAAATAAATTTACCCTATAAAAGAAGACAAATGTTTATGGTGCTCAATACAACGTCAGATCTTGTTCCATCTAAGAAAATTGGAAACCAAATGATTTCAACAATTCAAACCAAGTTTTCAATTAAACGGAATGTTCACTTCAATCTAGACAGTGAAATGACGGAAGTAAGTGGCTCATTTGTTCGGTCAGGTCCACTTAAGCGAAATTACTCTAAGCATACAAATACACAAAAATTGTATCCCTTTGAGCAGTAGTAGTCGACTTACTGATTAATAATTAGTGAAAAGGAAAAGTTTGTTAAGTATATGTGGGTAGAACATTCATCACAATTTGCTTTGTTTACACCTTAAGCACTTGATGACTTCTAGTTAAGCATTTGGTTTCCAAGATGCCTTAAAACGTCAGGAAATCTATTATATACTTCATTAGAATTTCATGAACATTATCGTATCAGATATTTGTTACTATCATTAAGAATATGAGTTTTATCATAATTAATATTCCCTTGGTTTCTGAGTGGGACATAGGGCTTCAAAAACACATCTCCATTTGGTTCTGTTTGGTGCTCTCCTCTTCAGCTGCGTCTACCATGATTTAATTAACTCTACGGATGCTTACATTATGCGTTATGTATCCGTTACCCATCTTATTAACTGCAATTTTCTTGTTGTTACTTTTTCTTGAAAGCCGAATTCAATTTCCAGTCTCTACTTTTACAGTGGATCGTGTTCAATTTTCTTTCGTGCAACATACAACTAATCAATTTTGTTTCCTTTTCTGTCTTGCTGATTAGTGGTACAGCCAATTAGTTATTAGTCGAAGTTGTTTTCTTTATCAGTATTAATTAGAAGTTAAAGAAACCCACGAAGAACTAATAGAATATTATGAAGCAGCTTAAGGTTTGGAATTTTGGACTGTTCTCGAATACTCTTCGGAAAAACAGCATTATAAAAATAGCGAATTGAAGGAAGAATACTTCTTACTTGTTTAAAACGGAAAATAGCAGAACAGGTGGTTGTTTAATGACATAGAATGTTATTGATCAAAACAATTGTTTACTTTAGTCCAGGGACTGTGGGCTGAACCCAAAACTTCGTCTTGGCAGTATAGAAATGCATTTTTACAACTTTGACTTACTGACTTAACCGCATTGATCAGACTCAATCCAAGAGGCCACAAGCCAGGAGGACGTTCACAGCTCAATTTTTGAGGCAGTAATGGTCGTGTTCTGGTTACTGTACTGAGACCATGGGCTAGAAGTATTAGGCTGTCATAGATTAAACTGAACTGAATCTATTCAAAGAAAAAGACAAGCATTTTCAAAAATAGGCATTTGAATATGTCATGAATAAATTTCTAACACATATCTCAGAGATTAAATAAATTGAAAGTATTGTGAGAGACTACATTAAAAAATTCAGTCAAGCAAATACATGAGAGATTTTGAAATCCACTCAAAATAAATACAGGTTTATGACGTCTATGATAATGAGCTTGAGCTACCCGACATACTGCATTTACTATCATTGTATTATAAGCGATGCTGGAAAGTATACTTAAAATAAAATATCCAATTCATTGTGATGATTTATTTGAAGTCTAGCAAATCATAATGGTGCATGGGTGTTTCCATACCTAACTGGCCATCAACCTCGTTGGTGTCTGAACTTATATCCATTGCATCCGTAAGCAAATGCATTTGAGAATTGGAAAAGGAATAATGAATAATAAAATAATCTATTTGCAAACAACCGATTAAATGTAGGACTAAGTTGTCAGCATACAATCAGTAATTGGTTGGATAAACAAGCTGCTTTGGAGTCACGATTGAGGACTGAAATCAGATGTTTCCTCTCAGGCAAAAGAGCCTCCATACAAAAGGAAGAAAAGTGTTATCGAGTGCAATCGCCAGACATTTAATTGACACAGGACACACAGTAGAAATCAGCCATGCCTTCAAAATAATCAATACGCAAATAAACCCATGGCTACTTCGTTTCACAGAAGCCATCGCTATCAAGAGACTTCGACCAGACCTCTGTACACAGAAAGATAGTGTGACTAATCTTTCACTACCCTGGTAACCCTAATCCTATTTTATTTATTTTTGTTTTTTGTTACTTACTTCACTGTTACTTCACTATTCACCCCCACCCTCTTAAACTCTCCACCACATGTGTAAATTCACTCTGTTCTCTGACCTTGACCCTATAATATGCCTCTAACCAATTTGTGTTTCCCAATAGTAATCTGAACTTTAAACCCTCTTATCTTATTCTACTATATATAATTAGTTTTTTTTTGACACTGAATAATCTGTCTACCTACATCAAATTCCGGAATTATGTTCCTTATACCTTCTATTTATAACTCCAAGTAATTATGAAAAAGTATGTCCAAAACATTTTTTCAAACTTATAATTGATTTTGTTTAGGATGTATGCAGTTGATGAGTATCCACGAAATAAAACGAGCTCGTATTATCCTGCAAACATGTTCGTTCTTTCTCTCTTCAAAAGCTGTTATATTATAAGATCTACTACTGATAATTACAAATACCAGTAAATTTATTTCTCTTCTTCTCTCATTAGATAGTTCCTGTTATAACAAATCTTCAACTACCATCATGTCAGAACAATATAACGCAGCAATACATTGACTTACTGTAGGATTCCCATTTGACAAATCTTTTGAACCTATAGTTTCATGAATAGGTTTCCGATAAATTGACATTTCAGAAGGTCGAGCTTTGTTCATATCTAGTGTCATAATTTTTGGTAGGATAGAGATGGCTTTAATTCTTGCTCCAACATCGATTTTGAATGCAGTTAAATCTAAAGTTGCAATATCCTTTAAGGGTAAAAATGAATTTCATACTCAGAAAGTAGGTTAATGAGATACAGATTCTAAAAAAAGAATTATGATAGTTTAACATTTAGCAGCGAAATGAACAAAAACGGGTCAAAATTAAACCATATTACTACATTACTATGATTTGAATAAGTTATGCTTGTGGGTGACCTGATATAGTCATCAATAGAAAAAGGGATAACGTCCAGTTTTCAGTAGGCCTACCTTATAGATAAGATTTTCAGTAAAATTCATAACAAAGTCGAAAAAGTGAGGAAATGTTTGAAATGTAAAATTCAAATTTTATTCCATATTTAAACCTAGAATAAAGTGCCTATCAAACATGTGAAGCGCTTTTTCTCGATTTTTTCTGTTTATTTTAGCGAATGCAAGTAAATTTTCAAATACAGTGTATAGAATGAAGACGTGAGGAGTGTTCTTAAGCTATTTAAATACAAACGATTTCATTTAAACTGAAATTCATTCTTTGTAATATTTCAAACAGGCAAGTAAAATTTCATCAATGTTAAACGGCTGCATGTATCAATGTAAATTTATTAACATACTGTAGATCTGAATGTTACATTATAGTAAATCTTAAAAGCACGCCTCTGCTACACATCACCTTTTGCACACCATGTATGCAAACAGTTGATGGATAATGTTTCACTTTATTCAAAATACCAGGAATTACAACAGTTAAAAGGCCATTTATTTTTTGCTTTTACTGATAGTTTTATGGACCACTGGTTTTGTTTTAAATGTAAAGACATTTGTTTACCCCTTATTAATCATCATATCCTGATGTAGTACTTTACTTTTCTTATTGCTTCCCAAACAGTCATGGACAAAGAAGGAAAGTCATACAAGCATTTTCAAGTCTTTTTTTCATTCATTATTTATTGACACTTCTGAAAAGTATAGTTCAAGATAAAGCCGCGTCTTCTTCTGTGAAACTTTGTAATGAATGTTTGTCTGAAAATTAATTAAAAATATTGGAACATGTTTTTTGTTCCCGTGATAAATATGGATAGGCTGGATGACTAATACTTCTATTTCCCTTCAAGGATTGTCTTTCGGAATAAGTAAATAAGATTACGGCTGACGTTATCTCGCATCTCCTTAGTCTATTCATACACAAGTTTATGAATGATGAATATTTTGGATGTGTACATAGCCCAATGGGTTCTATTACCTTAACAAAATACCTAGATAGTATTGGCTATTTATATCTTCGATAAAAAGTTTGTTGATTTACTGTTGTTTGACTACTTAATACAAACATTTATCAAAACATGGTATCAAAGTTTATACAGAACGACTGGATCGAGATTATTCTGTTAGAAGGTAAACACATTTATGTGGAGTACAGATATATTTTTGTTTGCACACTTAGTTGCATTTTTTGTTTCGCATGTTTTGATAAAATTAATTGTTTTGAAATTAACAGGGACTAGGTCAGACTATGTTTCATGTCCTCGTCTGCACCTGAGCAATCGTAACACCATTTTACAAGTAGAAATCCTATTATTAGACATTGCTTGTCATTCTAACTCATTTTTGTCAACCATAATGAGAAATCTTTTCACAATAATGATGGTAGATTGTATTTTGATGACGGTTTTGAAAAGTGTTAATCACATTTGTACCAGTACTCAAAATCGAAATAGTGTAATAGTGGGTGATGATTCCTAAGTCGTTTATTTTACTGAAATAAACGGACATCCAAACATGACTGTATTCATTAAATGGTTACATACTAAAAAGAAGCTTGGACTTCATGTAATCATTTCCATGTTTAGGATAAGTTAATTTTATTTCATAAGGTTTTAGATTTAATATCTTTAGACACTGTTATCTTGAAGAATTCTGTATTATCTGTTCTCTCAAATGACAGCACGTTCATTTATAAGTCATGAAAAAAATAAAATGCAAAACATATTAAGAAATATGACCAAGCACTGCAGATTTAAATACTGTCCAGTCAGATATATTCGTAAACTCAATAATAAAAATACTCCAGAACTATCAGGTATGATAGTAGTCATTCAAAAGAGGTAAACAGGTGAAATGAGATTAGGTGTTTGTTCAGGAAATACATTGAAACATTATTATTGATGGAGTCAAATATTCGAAAAAACTCAAACTTCAGAAGTTTCACATTCTAATTTAGTTTATTACATGAAATGTGTAGACCAGGAGGCAGTGTACATAAATTTAACATCATATGAAGTGATTCACAAGGAATCCCAGGCTCTTTATAGTGTATATCTACATTTCTCAAAGGGAGAAAACTAGAAAAATATGTAGGGAGAAAGCTTGAGTGACAAGCAAGGATTTTCTCGCTCAAAATGATGTTAACTAAATTTATAAATGAAAATGTTTCCTATGATACTTTTTATCATAGCTTCGTTCAACATAGTATTTTTGATACAAGTATGGAATTTTCAGCACAAGTTATCGGTAGCCCAAGTTTTGTGGGCCGACCATCGATATCATTTGTGCGTCAGCAAGGGATCGAACCCCGGACCATGTGCATGGTCAGCGAGAGTCCTAACCACTGTGCCACCGACGCACTGAAGAAATGTGTGGTTATATGAATAATATGAACGGCCTGGTTATACAAACAAAAGTTCAAACAAATGGGCGTTGTAGATAAAGGCTTTCAAATGAAATAATCGAGTCTCAAGGAATATGTAACAAGACTGAGAGAAGCTTTATGAAAAGTGAACCATAAGATAAAGATGAGAAGTTGGTGTATTTTGTCAGTTAGCTTTGTATGAACTTTTCTTGAACACACCGATTAGGATTATCAGTTCTGGTGCCAATAATTAAAGGTGTGCTCCTGAATTTTCTGTCTTTTTTAACAACTATTGATGAGATCTTATCATGACAACCAGAAACAACATGCACTCAGATACACATTAACGTCTGATTACTTGAAGCATATATCCTCATAACCAAATAATGAAAGGCACATAGCACAAGTTTGGAAATCACACCAAAATTTAAAGTAATATTTTCGATGAAGGACTTACGAGTGACGCCACACAAACTCGAAGATCTCTAGGTAAAAACCAACATTTTGATGGAAGAGACAACAAAGACTTCAAGGGAACATAGAGAAGACAACAAAAATAAGCATCAGTCTCTGTTGGCGGGAAAGATTTGAAGGAAGTTACCTCTTTTACTCACCTGGCTAGGCATTATCATTTCTACTACAGGCCGAAGGCACGGGTGAGAATATCAAAGCCTGCCACGATCGGAAGAGCTAAAAAGACATTCATTCACTTGTAATCAGTGTGTATATCTGCTTCTCTGGGCGTGAAGAAAAATATTTGAACTTTCAACATTAATGTCAAGCCAGCCATCCTATGGGTTTCAGAGGCTTAGTACATCACACAAAGCACTTTGAACAGGCTGCAGGCTTTTATCAGCTTCTACCTTCGTTGGCTCGATACTGAAGATCAGATGGCTGGCTGACCAAAGTGTATAAGCAACAGGATACTGTGGCAAATATGCAGAAGGGAATGGAGATATTTTGCTCTGAAGAGACTGTTGCGTGGCATTACATGCAAAGCTATGGGAGTGGAACCCGAATAGGGAACAAGCTGGGCATCTGAGAGGGACGTCGAGGTGGTCCTGCCAGCAGATGAGAACTTATGAGCAGTCAAGGAACCAGTTGAAGAGGACTTCAGAGGATAGGATGAAACGTTGATGTTCTTTTGAAGTCTTGTGTTCCACTCGGAGCCAAAGGTAATAATAACGTGATTCGGTGGCATCCTGAAAGATATTTGGTCACTCAAACATATAATTGTAATACAGTGAAATAATTTTTCATCCTGACAGTTAATCTATGCTGTTCAGGGTGTTTTCTTCCTAGGATGGAGAGCTCTGATAAATCATTTATTTACGGATTCGAGAAATCGTTCAGCGTTAAAAGCTTAGAGTTGGACAGCACAGATTACAATTGTCAGAATTAGTTCAATATCACCACAAGCCAAAATAATTTAATATAGGAAACCAATATGTCTTCAGTTAGGAAAGTAAGAAGTCAACCTAAACCAGATAGATACTCCATACATATTTATTCGATTACATATTTACCAAATCACGAGCCCCCTATCTCTTGGAGATGAGTAATTTTTCGTCTGACCTGGGTAAAACATGCTTGATATGAAAAAATATATGAAATATTCTTAGTTGTTGATGCTGATAACGGTCCAGCTTCGAAGCTTTAATATAAAGTGAATATTCACTCAGGCAATCTACGTTTCACAGTTAAATCATTATTCGGCAGATACCTCTCAGTTTATTGTCTTCCTACAAATTGTTATTCATTAGAAATATTGGTTTTCAGTAGACAGGCATTTTCCAATGAATGAATTCATGAAAACGCTGCGTGCTTTATTTCAAAGAAATTTTGGTCATTAAAATAAGAAGATTCTTCTGTAATCTATGTAACTTCGCCAAACAACTCATATACAAACACAAAATTTAATCAGTTGATTATCTTTTCATGATGTAATTTCATAACAATCAGTAATTACAGTTTAATAAAGAGACGTTAGGAGCATTTCTAATGATTCAATGCAGTGTTCTACATTGAATGGATAGATTAATTATTGCTGAGGGCTAATTAAAGAACAATTATGCTTTTTATTTCGTTCGTAATTAGTATCAGCCCAATTCGCCGTGGCTAATTAGGATACATCCATTTAATTGTAAATTAGCTCATCGGAATAGTTATACTATCAGTCAATTGTAAACGCTAAGTGAGGTATATCTGGCAACAGATTATGAAATATTTTACTTCTTTTTTTATTACATGCAGCAACAGAAAGTAGATAAGCTTAATTCTGATGCACTTTCCTCTACCAAATATAATATGCTTTCTGTCCAAGATAAACAATGGGCTAAATTGGTCTAAGCCACTCCAGAGCTGATTTATCCGTTGTACTCTACCTCAAGTACAAATGAGTGTTGAGGCTATGCTGTATTATGTGCAGTACCACTGCGTTATCATATATATATATTTTTAATGCATGATTTTAGATGTCGCTTTTTCACATTGTGAGACAACTGGGTTTATATTCACAGTCAACTTGTTGGCTATTCAGAAATAATGACAAATCAAAATCACCTTAGCATAGACTTTGTCAACATTATAGTTTGTTTCACATCAAAAGGATATCAAAATATGCGGTGAGGTGATAAACCTATGAACATCATGGTCATCTGACTGTTGAGTAAATAAGCATACAAATTCGTGTATTCAGAAACTCTGTGTATATAAATAAAACAGAGACTTCAAATTTCATTACTCGATGAGGAAACCAAAGTTTCTGATGAATAAAGGTACAAAATACAGCTTTCAAAGTAAAAATTACTTTTCCTAGGGTAGCACAAAAAATGACGCAAATACGGCGATCAAACCTTATGGAGGCGCAAACATAGTTACATGAGTGGGTATCCAAGAGCTCGCAGCTTCTACTCTTTGCTTCTGACGTTTAGTGGATTCAACCTTAAAAGTTAACTTTTTTCATAATTTAGGTATAGTCTATCAGGTCATCTAACCAGCATACTACAGTGAAAAAAATGTATCTTCCTTTTCAGCATTTTCAAGTGCATATCGAATTTTTAATCTAGTCATACTACCTTATCTTAAATAGATACTTCCATTAAATTCTAACGTGAATAAAATAAAATTTGGCTTACTACATTTTCTAAATTATTCAAAAACAAAAGGCTTAACATGACTAAATTTAGCAATAATCAAAAAGTATAAACTTCGTATCAGCATACTTTGCTTATTTGTTGCAGTAAACATGCAGTCTGTGCATACTGTATTTAAATGTCAACTGACATACGCATATTATAACATGATTATAGCACACTAAGTATGAATTCAGAGATTGAGCTATTTTTTATGAGCTATCAAATACGTTGTCAAGATTTCACATTTATCAAACTTAAATGTTTACAGAAATTCAAAATGTACACGCTTACCCAGTCTGTGAATATGAAAGTGTACTGATAGCCAGTCATATTGTGTACATAGGCCTACGAAAAAAACAAAACAGTAGTAGAGAGATTTATGTATCAGACGTTAGTGTATACAATAATAACGGGAATAATAAATTTCAGCTTAAGCTAATATAAAAGGCATATTATCTGCATATACTCTATTGCGTATTACGTATATCTTTATCAGTTGTGTGTAACACAGAAGCTAGTAACATTCCAGATGAATGGTATTGAATGTTTAGAGCATGATAAGTACCTATGAGATATAAATTTAAAGACAGTTCAGAATAGAATATTCCCTACGTAAATTCACTTCAAAGCTGTGTTCTAAAAGGTCAGGGGAATACCTATAAGGTCGATTACCCACAGAAGTTGGTACCAGAATGCATGGATTCACATGTTGAGAAAAATAATCGATTATGCGATCTAAAAAAATAAAGTGGTGATTATCACTCAGAAATGATTACCATTAAAACAGGAGATAGTGCATCGGTGGCATAGCGGTTAGGATGCTCGCCGACCATGCACATGGTCCGGGGTTCGATCCCCGGCCGACTTACTCCTTTACCTAGCTAAGCCAGAAATAATGCTGGTAAAGAGGAAAAGTTGGGCATGAGGCTAGCAACCTCATCCTATAAAACAAACACTGCTACAGAAACTTCAAGCCACTAGCTTGAAGCTCTATGTTCCACTGGGGAACGTCAAGGAAAAAAACTACAACATGAAATAGGAATATTATTCGAAAAATTAAGACATTTGTGAAGTCAGGAGTTAGAAATGAAAGAGTATGGCGAAAATGACGAATGAATATGGATTGCTTACGAAATCATTGTATGAGTTTAAAAAATTAATAAAAGTATAAGACCACTGTAGTCAAAAGGATAAAAGGGTAAATCGCCTCTATGCACACAATTCAGAGTTTTATTTATGTGTACAGCAAGAGGTTTTGCTATGGACAGAAGGTGAAACCTTTTGGTTAAATTGGTCTTACCGTATGAATCACTTTGAAGGATTTTTCTGTTGATGCGGAATGATTTGTAGGAACAAAGTGTTCAAGACTTGAACTTTCGGCTTGTCTAATCTCTCCTTTCGAGAACTATATTTGGAGATGTTTATGTGAGTGTCTAGACAGTAGTCTATAGGTATGGCCTGTGTAACTAACTCCACAGGAGGAAGTCAATTCTTATATGCAAATAGATGATACCGACAGTGGAAAGTTGTCTTTGACATTTTGGTGAATAGAAAGTTGCGTGGATAGTCTGAGATGTAAAGATACGACAAAAAATGTTTTTTTGAACTGATCTCAATAATTCCATTATAGATAAGATTTTATTTTGATAAATCGCACAGTGTTTACAGTTATCAGTTCATATAACTGTAAACACTGTGCGATTTATCAAAATAAAATCTTATCTATAATGGAATTATACTCTACCACAGTGCCCAAGTTTTATACTTATGATTTCAATAATCTGCTTCGAAGGACTTTAGATGTTGTGTCACCTTTAAATTTCAGTTTTACGAATAACTTTTTCTTTGGTACTTGGGTAATTCCCATATCATCCATCTTACGTTTCATATGTTTATGGTGAATGCTAGTTGATCAGCATTATGAATTACTCTAACGGAAAGACTCCACCATTCTATGGATATACGACTGATTCGTGTGAAGGGGTTTGGATGAAATTTTTTTTCCGTGTACTGAAACAGAGCCATAGAAATTAGTTGCCCGTCCAACTATGGATGTTTAGTTATCATGCTAGCATTTGAAACAGTAGTAACCTTTACTTTAATGCGCATCAGTTAACAGACTGGTGTTTCTCAATTTATCCATACTGTGAAACTAAGTCTAAGTGTATTTAATTGAATATAATTCTATAGGAATACAGCAGAAGGAAATGAATGTCAACTAACTTCCTTGTTGCTTCCGCAAAGCTAAGCAGTGGGTGAGAAATTCATTCAAGCTGAATTCGACTGGGCGATCTCATTATCTGTTTCGCGTACATAACCAAACACCGAGTGCTAGAATATATATAAGCTAGTATAACTCGATGAAACTCTTAGAACTATTATCCCAACCTAAAGTACTACCATGTAACTTCATCCCATTTGAGGTTCTTTTGTTCGCTTTACCTAAGAAACATGAAACTGATTTTCAAAACTGGATTCACGTATTTCTTATGTGTTAACAAAATCAGACTCCGATGGTTCTCTATTTCGTTAAACTTGTCAATGAACCACTTGAATATGGATCTGTTTCTTTTCTATTATTATTATTTTGTTTCAGTCATTGAAATATTCAAAGCTCCTACAATATGTGACGCAAATATTTTTCAAAATGTCTCACTGTAAATCGACAGCATTTGATTCAGTTTTTTTTAATCTCACACATAAATGAAAATGACATTTTCTCTTTCGAGTAAAAACCAGTCAACCTTGTCATCACAACTTACTACTGTGTGGCAGATTAGACATTAAATGTGATGATGCATAAATTAAGTGAGACAAAGGAATTCATACACAAAAGTGAAATTATGACTGTGAAAACAAGTTGAGAGTAGACAGAAATGCTTTCTGAAAACTAGAAAAGCAAACGAAGTGAAGTAAAATGTTTGCTGTGCATAATGCAATACATTTTTCCAACCACTTAGAATTATTTTACAATGAAGAATGCTGTATAGTCCATGAAACCAATATACTATTAAGTTCTAGTTAAAACTTTGAACACCAGTTGAGCTACTGATCTGAGTTATCAGTCGAAACCGTAAAATAATTTTGCTGGAAATTTCTTTTCAAAATCAGTTCTCGTTTTTCTGCAAGTGTTGGTTTATAAGGATTTGATTGGTTACAAGACTTCATCATGAGTTGACATTGGTTAGAGAACCATTGGAAAACCTGGGAGTACTGGACAGCTGTTCCATCCTAGTTTGAGACTCTTCATCAGCACGTATCAACTGGGGCTCGAACCCAGGACCTTCTGGTTACAAGGCGAGCTCGTATACTATTAAGCCACTGGGATCAGATCCAGTGTCCAGTCCATGAATTCTAACTTCTGCCAATTCACGATATAGTGCGACCCCTAGCTAATGTTTTCAGCGACTATTTGTCCTCACACCCGACCCGCTGCACCCTACTGGTCAGGACTTCTCACTAGAACCCCAGGTTACTACCTACTTGAATAGGGCAAGTCGCTAGAAACAGCTGTCCAGTACTCCCAGGTTTTCCAATGGTTCTCTAAATAATGTCAGCTCATAATGAAATCCTGTAACCAATCAATTCCCTACAAACCAACACTTGAATATCGATGAGATGCTCAAAGGCGACTAGCCCTATTCAGGTAGGTAGTTACCTGGAGTTGTAGTGGGAAGTCCTGACCAGTAGGGTGCAGCGGGTCGGGTGTGAGGACAATTAGTCGCTGAAAACATTGGCTAGGGGTCGCGCTATATCGTGAATTGGCAGAAGTTAGAATTCATGGACTGGACACTGGATCTGGTCCCAGTGGCTTAATGGTATACGAGCTAGCCTTGTAACCAGGTGGGCCCGCGTTCGAGCCTCAGTGGATGCGTAGTGATGAAGAGTCTCACTTTTCTGCCGAAACTGATAGAAATGTGTTAGGTTTTAGTGAAATATGTGTTACAGTGTTAGTAAATCGGTAAACTTGTTTGAGGCACATGTAGATCAACATGAAACATTTTCTGGAGATTCCCAAGGCAAAAATCATTACACATTGATTTTATTGGTGTTTAAATTTTAAAAAGGTTCGTAGTTTAAAACTACGTGAACACTCAAAAAGCCAACTTTTATATGGCAAAATAGTTGAACTGATAAATACTTACCATAACTAAGAAGTTGCTCACTTGCCAACTGGGAATGTCTACAAGAAAGTTTTTTTCTGAACCTGAGCCTAATTCTGCCATCATTGCTCTGGCTCCACTTGCATTCTCATCCCATGATTTTATCTTCAAAGTTCCTTCATAGTTATTCACTAAGGTGGTGAACTTGAGCAAACCTGATTTAATATCCAACATGAGAATAATATAAACATACAGTGCAAAAAACTCTTCAAAATGAGAACAGATGCACTGAATGTAAAGTATTTCCTAATGACAGTCTACGACAGGTTCTCTTCTAAGGAGAAAAACTGATAAATAATGGTGGCGTATATGATCTAATTAGGAGTACAAAAGTACCATTATTATGTTAATGTTGGTGCTCAACAAGGGCTCACCTCTGTTCTAATGTCTAAATAAAACTATTGGACACATTTATTTCTTTCCCTATAAAGAAAATATTCAGAAAAATCATAATTAAAGTAAAAAATAGTTTTCGACAACTTCATCAGGCTCTGAGGGATAAACTACTGATAATGGCCTCTTGATGGATTGGCCATGCGCTGAGGAAACCATCAAGTGACATCACTAGACAAGCCATTGCTCGAGTGCAACCCGAAAGGGAAGCGGTGAGTTGGTCGTCAGTGCGAGGGTGACTTGGAGGAGGTCATGTGAAGAGGAGATGAAAGCATGTGGGCAGACTTGGAGCGGGGTGAAAAAGTTGGCAGAAAACCGAAGGCAATGGAGACGCGCTGCTGAAGCCCTATGTTCCTCTAGGAATTAAAGGATGTAATAATAATAATGGCCTCTTCAATTCAATATTTAGTAAATCAACCGCTTCTGTGGAGCTTGTTACTTTAGTCTTATTATTCTTATTGTTATTCGGACGTCTTCATACATTCACATAGGTGAACATATATGGCTGCATAAAAGAGCAACAAAGTGCATAGATAACTCAACTGTGTGTCATTCAGCGGATAGTGGCCATCAAATTAAACAGGAGCAGATGATTTCGGCTGTGTGTCATGAGGAGTTTGATTACGCTTCCTATTGGTAGTGGTAAATAGGAATTAAAACCCAACCAATGTATATGGGCTAATTTGTTTACCTCGGTTCACATTAGGAGGGGGGGTACACTCTTTAATATAAATTCATATATAATTAACGCTTCAAATGCCTGTCCCGTTATTTTCTCTCACCCCTGACTGTATTTCAGGCGTTTGCGATTTCATGACCTTCATTAATAGGTCTGTATTTTTGCTTGTCCTACTGATTACTTTTAACCTTTTCTTAAAACTGTTCATACCATCCTTTTCATTCCACTAGATTAAATTCTTCATTCTAACTAAAAGTACCACTGTGTCAACAACATCATGCCACTGTAACAATTTTATCATTATTTGTCACCCTTTCAACGTCTCCGATTTGTTTGTTTGTGTCATTGTAGTGTTCATATTTTGTCTCACTCCACTGACTCTAACTCACCCCCTGGAATGTGTACTTGACATTAAATCTCAGATACGTCATCAAGTTATTTTATCTCACGCTATCTCAGGATCTCACCTATTATAATATTTACATACGTTTAAGCGGTAATCAAAACTAACGGTCTATTATTACATACTGTACTAGTATCACAGTACAGTTTCAGATACAATTTTCATTCGCCTTTACTGACCCATTTACTAACATCAAAAGATTGATGATTATAGGGCTTGATGAAAAGTTATTTATTTATTTTCTTTCTGATCAATTAAACTTCTCTGTTGATATGTCGGCTCTTTGGACAATAACTTCGACAATGACTGAAGGCAAACATAGTATTATTTCATTGTTGGTAGTTGATAATGCAATCCAGGACGTACTCTTCACTCTGTTTATGACTCGCCAGCTAGGTATGCATATATCCAAACGGGGTGGGTGTTCTCAAGCATTGTTGTTTCAAACACTATGGCGTCATCAGCTAAGCTCCTGAACTTAAGGAGTCGTTAATCTCACAACGAGTAATATGATTTGTTTATTGAAATTGTTGTGAGTGACGCTGGATTCTACTATCAGCCACCACTTATCAAACAGTATGAGTCAGTAATTTACAAAAGATTATAGCGGAAACTAATTGTATAAAATTATTGAAAACAGTCGTTCGCATTAATTATTCTTGTTTGGAATAAATTTTGGAGATATTAAAATTACATAGCAGATTCAACTAAGAGAATGAGAAATTCAAGCTTTCACTGAATGGGTACAAGCAGTTTTCCAAATAGTTTCCTGCCACGTGGCAAATTTTACTAAGTAACTTTTTAGGAATAAGTTTTTTGTTATTGGTTTTTCCAGGGGTCTGATTGGTTGCGGGTTCGATCACAAGCTGACATCAGTTAGAGAGCCACCGGAAAACCAGGGGACACTGAACAGTTTTTTTTATCCCATTTTGGAACCATTCAGCAGTACACAATCACTGTAATTCGACTCAAGGACTTTTCAGTCACCAGGTGCCCTAGGAGATCATTCAACCCCAGTGACTTGACCGAATAGCTCATGAATTCCAAATTCTGCCAATTCGAGATGAATAAATATTTACACAAATGTTCTTTATTTTGACTAGAATACTTACTTTCAGGTTTATTATAGATCAACGTCATTCGCTTCCACTTTTCCACCTGGGTTAAATATTCATATAAGCCTATTCCATAGCTTTCAATGCTGGGATGTAGATGTATGGCGTAAGTACTTTTTGGTGGTGCTAAACTCCAATGTGTTTCTACATACGGTAGACCAAAACGATTGGCTAGTGACAATAGAGCCTGTGCCAGAGATGGTGAACTTGGCCCATATAGGGCGATTATTCCTCGATCCAGAATTTTGCACGCTTATAACCGCAAAGTAGATTCATAGCAAAAAAGCAAATAACAAGTAAATAATTTAGTTATATGTAATAAGAGTAATTCATGAAAAGAAAACAATAAAACTCCCTACTTGTTCAAGCCAAACTTTTGAATATATTCACTTTTACAAACTTTTCTGCTTCCAATTCTTTGAAGTATTCTTTGGGTCAAAGATAAGACTGCAAAACAGCACCGTGGTATGAAATAAGGGATAGTTACTTTAATCATGTTCAGTGTTAAAGAAGCATTTAAAATGAAGTTGAGTGAAATTATGCATTCATTCACAGTTTTTTACAATCCTTTCTTGATTAGTAGTTTACCTTTACATTCAATGTATGAAGTTTTACATTACTGTAGAAGCAACAACCAGCATAAAACATAGTCATTTTCGCTGTTAATTCCTATTAGTAACTAAATGATACGGCAACAGCTCAGACTATGGGCTGGATATTCGAGCCGCCAAATATGTTCCACTGATTTGCATAGTTGTGCAGTAGAAATCTTAACTAGCTCCAATGTGTCACGCTAAAATATCTGGTATTAAACTAGAACTGCAGTCGTATTAATGTGATGGTTAAAAAGTGATATTATGAACCCCTATCTACTGACACGTTTTTGATAAAGTCATACAACAGATCCCTGGAAAAAAGTTTAATTCTGACTGAAATTTAGTTAAATAAGGAGTCAGGATTATTTATTCCTCGTGTTTCGAATAGAACATGGGGTTTCGGTGACGCACTTTCAACCGATTTCCACTGGAGACCCTGAGGTGTGATGTCACATGAATGTTTCCTGGGAGAATATACAGTCCATTACCATTTTCTTCTGCATATGTGTTGGGTTGATTCATTGCCACAGTTTCTTGTTGCTCATCTTTTCCTGATGACTGTCTGATCTTCAATATCGGGAGAAGGCTTGTGTTGGTGAGAGTATGCAACCTATTGAAAATTTGGATCTTGTTTATTGTTCTGAGTGCTGTAGATCTCCACAGTGATTTCGGAGTAATGAATGGTAATCTTTCTTTCGCACTTCTGTCCTACTGCTTCTGACTTTAACAACATAATCCACGGCGCATACAAGACTGCCTGTCTAATTAAGTGAAAGAGAAAGACGACTTCTTTTGGATTTCTCCAGTTGTTGATAATTAGTGCTTACTGTTGTTCACAGTCGGGTATCCTTATAGTCTCTGTCTTTCCTATATCCATCTGAAGTTCTGTATTCACCGACCCTTTTGTTAACTTATTGTTTCCTGCCTGTAGACCTTCGAATATGACAATAGACATAAATAATCCGTGAGATGCAGATGCTTTAGTCGTTCTGTTGGTTCAATATATGCCAGGTTTCTCACTCCTCACGGTTTGTTGCATGGTCCAGTCCAACACGCTTAGAAAATTATTGTTGATAACAGGCAATCTTTTCGTACTTCTATCTTCCTTTGAAACACTTCCATGAGTTTCGCATCGTAAATTTCTTGAAATTTATCATCATAGTATAGCTGTTGAATGAGGTTCATTAGTGTTTGAGACACTACTCTCCAGATTGTTGAAGTGGTCACCAAATTATTTCGCCGTATACGCTGTCGAAGCCGTTTTTAATGTCGATGTATTTGAGGTACAAATTCGACTGTCATATAAGGCTTTGAAGTATACGCTGAAGATGTCACCCAGTAGGGTGATGAAAGCTTCGCAAATTAACCATCCAGCTCAGAGAACAAAACCACATCAAAATATAAGGCTTTGTTTGATGATGATATATAGTGTAACTATTTGAACGACATATGTGTTTTTGCTGCTGAATCCGGAATTTGTCGAGCGAAGTCTTCCATCCAGCGCATCTTTAAGTCATTTCAGCATAATGAGGTTTAATATTTTTGTAGAGTGTACAAGAACATGATTGTGTGTCGGTTCTTTCATAGGCTTAAACTGCTCTTCTTTAGCAGTTTGGCAAGGTGGTCTTTCCATTATGGGTAAATTCTGTTTTGATAAAGTCTCACAGTGTTATACAGTAATGTTTACTGATGACGTTTCGAGCACAACTTATTGCTCATAATCATATCAAGGTAATCACACGACCCCCTAAATTCATTTATATAGTTCCATTGTTTTTCTCTTGATTTTCACTTGATTTGATTGGTAATAGTATTTTCCATATTTCAGGTATGAGTGATGAATCATTCCCACTGTATGTGTTGGGTGTAGACTCGATGAACAAGGATTCAGTAATCAACCTCTCTCTCCACCTACCTAGATTACTTTTTAGAATTTTAACCCTCTCCCACCATGCTATTGTGTGGTTGTGTGTTAATGCATGCATTGCAACTATAATAATAATTTTTCCTTCACGTTCCCCAGTGGAACATAGGGCTTCAAGCGAGTGGCTTGAAGTTTCTGTAGCAATGTTTTATTTTTACAGGATGGGGTTGCTAGCCTCATGCCCAACCTTTCCTCTTTACCAGCATTAGTTCTGGCTGAGCGAGGTAAAGGAGTTCGTCGGTAGGGGATCGAACCCCGGACCATGTGCATGGTCGGCGAGCGTCCTAACCGCTATACCACCGACGCTGGTGAGCCCGACGTGATTGCATTGCAATTGCTCAGCTTTTTTCTAAATTACTTATCTTCTCGGGGTCAACCATTCTTACCTTGGCTAAATTCTTATGTTCTGACAATCTGACTACCCCTGACCTACTAGTTTGACCTATGTAGTTGACCTCACAGTCATTGCATGGTATTTTGTAAATAATATTATTTTGTCTAATTGGGTCAACTGGGCCCTTTAACCTACAGAGCTTGTCCCTGAGTGAGTTTGTAGGTTTAAATGCCACCCTAATTCCTACTTTATTCAGAATCCTACGTAGTGTCTCAGATGTCCCCTCTTTATATGGTATATTTGTGGATGACTTATATTCTTTCTTATTTATGTTATTATTACTAGTTCCACAATTATTTTTATTTTGTTTTTGGCCTTTAATGATCTTCCTAATGAATTTTATAGGATAGTTGTTCAACACCAACGCTTCTTCTATCTGTTTTAATTCATCATTTAGATCTTTTTTTGTGCTACTTAGTGCCACTGCTCGGTTTGTTAAACATTTAACTAAGCCTGCCTTAACAGTTAAAGGATGAGACGAATTAAAGTCTAAATATCTATTAGAATGCGTTGGTTTTCTATAAACACTAGTGTGTATTTTGCCTTCTTCTATTCTTTTTATCTTACAATCTAACATAGCTAATTCTCCTTGTTCATTTTCTGATTCAAATGTGAATTTTATTCCCTCCACTAGTGAGTTTATATGTGTCAAGAAGCTAGAGATGTGTTCTGTTTTTAACACTGTGAAAGTGTCATCCACATATCTCCACCATATTTTTGGAGTGGGGTTAAATGTATTGAGGGCACTATTTTCCCAGCTGTCCATAAATATGTCTGCTACAATAGGGGATATTGGTGATCCCATTGCTACACCTTCTGTTTGTCTATATATTTTGCCTTGGAACTTAAAGATAGTAGATGTGTGGCCTTTACCTCAGTTATCGGGTACCTTTCCTTCCTTTCGCTATATTAACTTCAATACCATATCAAATCTTTGGTAAGTAATTAGGTATATTGAAAATATTTGCCATTTTTGTCAAACATTCATCATTTCTAGGAGATTCAGTCATATGTTTATGTAGATCGCAGGAGCCAATAATATACAACAGTTTCTACTGCTAAGCACTGAAAATGAAATCTATTTCCAAAATAAGTTATTTTGACATCCACATTGCTTATCATTACTTCCTAATTAATATGATGTGGCACTGATTGATGTTGAAAACTAGAATGTGAGCTGCAGTCCGAATTCTGCCATACTAGCTTTCCGTTTAATTCCGAGCCAGCATTCTCATTAGTCTGACAAACCTATTTGCAATAACAACTTATTTAGACCGTTCTCTTGCTAATTTGTGATGTGATATGTGCAAAGCTTTACTTCCTCTAATAACACCACGTATATATATATATATATTCACGCTAGCATATGACAAGATGAAAATAAAGGCAACATGAAAACAGAACAGACTGTTTATAGGTTTAAGTTTGTTCAGTTATTTTGTCTCTAAATTTGTTATGAAGACTAAGATAATGACGAGAATGACGGTAGTGATGGAGAGATAAATGGGATTACAGTTATTAATATTCATGATATCGTTTTTACATTTACTGAAGCATACACTACACTAGACAGTAACACGTTCTGCGTACGCATCAATAGGTTCATTAATTGCCAAAGTATTTATTTTGAAGAGAAGAAAAATAAGCGCAATGCATTAGTAGTTATGGTCAAAATAAAATTGTTAACAAGAATTACGATAACTACTCCAACTAAAACTCAATATATCTAAGTTGACATCCAACAGATTTAAAAGACATGCTATAGAAATTTTATACATTTGCAACCATTTTACTGATCACCAGTATTCTCTCACATAAAGAATATTTCGATGATAAGAAATTAAAAGTATAGTATTCATACAAATGGTTTGTCTTCTACATTACCCCTAGGAAGCCTATCAGCAAACGAGGGAATCTTCAAAATTAACTTTTCGTGGGAAGTTGGCATAATGAAATTCAGGAGTTCTAGAAATGTAAACAGCTGAATATTCTGAATGTTACTTATTTCAGAAATGTTTGAATATTATGAAAGAGCTAGTTACGGAATTTGAGAGAATTTCTAAGTACTTTAATTGGGTTAAAGAACAGAGGGTTAAACACGAATCAGTTTATAAATTAAGCTGAGTTTTCTTGGTGTAACCTTCTCTCTTTAAAGTGAATAAATGGAGACCTGAAACTGAATTTCATATTTTCGGCGTAGAAGAAACCGATCTTTCATTGTCTTTTAAGAAATGATACAACCAGCTATTACCTAATTTGGCAGTCATGTTGCCAATTTAATGTATATACTCTCTTAAGATTGAAACAACGTGATATGAACTTTCTACTATTAGCTTTAGGTTTAGTAAGATTTAGAAATTTCCGATTTCAAGCTGATACACTATTCCTTATCAAATAATAACATTCTCCGACAGAAATGTTTCTCAAAGTGTATCGTACGTGGTCAGAAATAAAAGGTTTTAACACACGTATTTATTTGCAGAAAGAAGAATTAAGTAGAGTGTATGATCTAGACTTAGGAAATTGCTGGTGAAAACAGAATTCTGTGTAAGGCTATTGGTATATAATTCGGTGCTACGGAAAAAGAACCAAAGAGCTTACTAAAGTGTTTCACGTCTTCGCCAAAAGATTGCGAGGCTGAAAATATGATACTTCTTATTTTAGAATACATAACAGTTGTACGCAAAACATTGGTTATTATTTTATTTTATTTCATCATTAAAAAATTATATATTTTTTCACTTGTAGCATTCAATGTTGAAATTTCAGCTTAAAAGTAATAGTTTGTATCTACCTCGAAGAGGTATTTGAAATTTCCTCATCTCAAATCAAATACATGTTTATTAAAGGATGGGGATTTGTAGCTCAGGTAGATGATTTCAATGTAGTTGTGTTTGCAAACACTTCATTGCCCTATTAGGCGACATCTTCCACGTATATTTCAATTTGAAGTGAGCTTTTAGATTTCTCCACGAGTTTATTAGTCGTCTTGAACATGATTGGTTGTTTTGGTGTGTTTTCATACCCTCTAGGCTACTTTTATTGGAATCAATTGTTTCCTTGACTTGAACTTTGACCCTTTGTGTGTGAGATTTCATCCTTAACGATTGACAAATTTTGTCTATGTCTATGTGTCTATTGACTGACAGTTCACTGGAATGATAAGTTTCGAAAAATTCGCTAGCTTTCTTGGTGTTTCCTCTGTTTAATATTAGAACGTTGTCCCAATCGAATTGATGTCCGTGGTTGTCTGTATGTAGTGATATGAGGGAGTGAGTATCATGTCTTTTGACGGCTAGTTTATCGTCATGGATACGAAGACGAAAGGGATGTCCATTTTGGCCAATCTAGTGCTTTTCGCAGCCATTGTAACTTATTTTGCAAATGATTTTGGTTTTATTTTCTTTCGTTGTTGAGTCTTTTGGTTGACATAGAACTGAGTGAAGTGATTTTGTTGGTTTGTGTGCGACGTCAATTCCTAAGGGTTTGAAGGGTCTTGCAGTGATTTCTGAGATATCCTTTATATATGACAGGGCGGTTTTCCTTGGGGGCCCTCAGTTTTGTATGTTGGGTTGGAGATATATGTCTTTTGATGGAATTTCGTGGATATCTGTTCCTTTGGAAGACGTCCATGAGAAATCTTTCTTCAATTTTCATTAAGGTGGGAGAGCTGCGATGAGTCCTGGCCCAATTCCTTTTGTGTGCTATTGAATTGTTGCTGTTGTGATTGAGTATTTGGTCCGTGTGAGTTGATCTTCTATAAACTTGGGTTTCTAACTCCCCTGTGGTTTTTCGCTTGACTAAGATGTCCAGAAATGGGATTTCGTTCTCAGATTTCTCTTCTCTTGTGAATTTGATGTCGTTGAGGACGTTGTTGATTGAGTCATGAGTTTTATCCTACTCGTTTCTATTGATTATTACAAATGTATCATCTACATAACGTATCCGAATTTCGGGTTTGATCTTTGTTAGGATTATGTTTTCGAGCCTTTGCCATCGAACCTGATAGCGGCCATCCCGTGGGTGTTCCTTTAACTTGTTCATGTATTTGGCCGTTGAATTTGAAGTACGGTGTTAGGCATAGGTATATGCATTCCATCCAACTTGTATGTTGCATTTTTGATTGTTGTGGAAAGTATTTATGGTTGCTGAGTAATTGCTCCATGGTCTCTTTTGCTAGTTACTGTCCAACTGAGGTATGTAATGCTGTGACGTCAAAGGATACCATTATTTCTTGGTCATCTATTTGAAGGCCTCTGATTTCCTCTAGAAATTGGATAGCGGAATTGATGGAGCCACATCAAGAAACAAGTTTATAATAATTAGTTTATAAGAACGCCACATTTCATGGGATGAATACAGTCTTCGGAGGAATAAGTGGGGATCGCTGGTCGGGAAAGAAAGTACTTTCTAATGAGGTAAGGAAATTTTAAGTTGGGTCATTGCACAACTTAATAACAACGTGCGGTTTTGGCATTCAAGAACGAACTTTTGGACTGCTGGGTTTCCAGGGAAAATGTGTGCAAAATGCTGTTTTCTCTAGAATATAATAATCTACAAAAAGGAGGACCACTACGGTTATTCTGAAGAATATTTTACTCATAGATCAAATTTGAAATTTTCAGACTGGTTCACAGTTTTGTAGAATGATTCGCAGTTCATACAGTTCGAAGTGATTATTTTACCACAGTTTCCTTTTTGATCTGACTGAAATCACAAATGGTAATCAAGAAGCAAAGAGCAAATGCATGTAACTATCTACTACTCATTGACTGAGATGAGTAGTTGTGTACCAGCCACATAAGCCAGTGGTGTTTGTTAGCTAGATGGAAGTTATCGAAACACCAAGTCGTTTAGCTCGCCTGGGGCAGAGATCATCAGCGGTGACCCAGTTTTGTTTAAGCTCATAGGCCGAATCACTACAAACCACCTATCATTTAAAAGGTTTGCACTACGGTAAAACTATTGTGATTTTATTTGTGTCTTATGTGATTAGCATTGTTGTCTTATGGTCCCCTGATATAACTATTTGAATACCCTGCAATTTACTAAGAACGTATTACGAATAGTTTCACTGAATTAGTATCTTGAATAGCAACTAAGGTAATGCACAGTTCTAGCTAATGCGAACTGACTGCCAAAAGTGTAAGGATTTAGCAAATAAATCCTTAGAAGCATGTAAAAAACCGAGTCAAATGTTTTCTCAACTAACCTTGTTGTGTGGCTATAAAAACATTATCTCTTGGCACAAACTGAATAATAGGTTCCAACTGGTAGGATGATAGTGTTCCACTTTGGCTCAAAACTTCATTAGCTGCTTGTATTCCATTTTCGAAGGCCTTTTCAACATCTTTATCCCCGTCACTCAAAATGACTCCTTGAATAAAACAGTATTTATACAAAACGGTAAGTTAAAAACCTTACATTTTATTTTAAGAACTAACATAATCAAACGAACTAAATTTTTTGGCTCAGTACTCTTATAATCATAGTTTTTGAAAATTTATACACCGTCGTTTATGTGTTTTGTCATAGGAAAAGGTGGTCCATGAAAATTGCTTAGAAAGACATAAGAAAATTTAGAAGCCCAGCCTCCTCTTTATTCCATGCTGAAGTTAATATACTGACGGTAACGTGACCGTGTAATGTCGATACTTGAAAGAATTTACGTGATCCTTCACCTCACCAATAGAAGATATAGTTTCAAGCTAGGGTTTTGAAGTTTCTGGAGCAGTGGTGTTATATTTTACTGAGTGGGGTTTCTAGCCTCACGCTCAACCTTCCCTCTTTACTGGCCTCCTAACCAGCTTGGCGAGGTTTAGGATTGCATCGGACAGGGGTTGATCCCCGGACCACGAAGTGGTTGGCAAGCGTTCTGGAACTGAATCGCCGACGCTTTAAAGAATTCACGAAAAGGCTGAATTCAAATTGAATTATTAGCACAAAGAAGTTTCGCCGTTTGATTAGAAACACTTACACAAACAACTGGGAAATCAAAAGGATAATGCAAACCTGTACAGCACGCACTGATATCACAGTTAAGTGTTAAAATGTTTCATTGGTGAACAAACTGTTTTACTTCAACAAATATTTCTTTTTCATATCCTAGATTCACATTGTATGAGGTCAATACATGCGTAGGTAAACTTTTTGAGATAGCAGTACACACTGAATCATCTGTTAGTATTCCCCACCTCTGTGTATTTTATTTGTATTCCTAATTTATGTTTTAAATGACCTTTTCATTTATGAATGCATAAAGTTTAGCGTTTGCACAGACATATTTTTTCTTGTATTAATGGCCTAAAGTTTAGGATCTGCAACTTGTAGAAAATAACAGTTTTGGGAAAATTTTTGTATGTGAATAAATCAATCGCAAATGTTCAATAATGTATTTCTTTTTTCTGAAGGAAATTAATCATGCTAGTAAAAACTAAATTTCACGTAACATAGAAATTTTTCGACAAGTTCAATTTCACTGAATTAAGAGAACCAACCATAATGTGAAATAACTGTAGACAGAGTATCCTTAAGTATACAATCATCGAAAAAAAACTAGAAAACGGAAGGATTCTTAGACTGAGACTCCTGAAAACGTTTTACTTACTGTTAATTGCTATTGTTTTAAGAATCATATACCGAAACTGTTATGGGTCCCTTCTGCAATACAGCTGAGTTGTTGGGTTAGGTGACGTCACCATACATTGCAGTGAGCATTTTGTTCTGACATAGAATGTTAGGATTACTTCTGCCGAATGTAAGAGTTTAACATACTTCTGATTAAAGAATTTCCTGATGAGTAAATATTGAATTTAAAATTGATCCATGTGTTTTTCTGATGAAAGCTTTTGAGCAAACAACAATCAGGATTTCGAAGGACCGTTAGTCACGTTCCTCTATGTACGACTACAAGTGGTTCATTGAAATGAAGGGGTTTAGGCTGTCTTTCTTCCTTTGGAACTTTCTGAATTTAGGATTTCATCATGAGCTTACATTGGTTAGAGAACCATTGGAAAACCTGGAGTACTGGACAGCTGTTTCGCCCTAGTTTGAGACTCTTCAGCAGTACGCATTCACCGGGATTCGAACCCGGGACCTTCCGGTTACAAGGCGAGCCACGGGGACCCGTTCCAATGGTCCTTGAATTCTAACTTCTGCCAATTCACAACATAGCGCAACCGCTAGCCAATGTCTTCGGCGAGTATTTATCCTCACACCCGATCCGCTGCACCCTACTGGTCATGACTTCCCACTGGAACCCAGGTACCTACCTACCTGAACAGGGCCAGTCGCCAGTGAGCATCTCATTGGTATTCAAGTATTGGTTTGTAGGGATTTGGCTGACTGGTTGCAGGATTTCATCATGAGCTGACATTGGTGGTGACTGAATTTAGTCAGTACTTTAGAGTCCTGTGGACTAGGATGTTTTGTAACTCTGTCAGCATTACCTTTTATGCAGATATTAAGCAAGTATGGTGAGCTTGGAATAATGAGAAGAATGTGTTTCCCACGCTCAGAACTATCACACTGCAATGCACACATAGTACAAAATGTTTATATTTCAGCGTTATTGTATTTTGATATTTGCCATGGTAGTGTATTCATGCATATTCTTTGTTTTAGGCAGTAGAATTCTCAAGATTTCGGTCATTGGTCGAAATGACTCAACTTTTGAGAGGGTGGTAAAATCAACAATTTAACAGATACCAAGTTTTGTCGTTTGCAGACAATACAGCTTGAGGTGAGAACTTAGTACGGTATCCTTTAGAAGTCCAAGAAGTATTCAAAACAAAATATATTCTGTGTATGATGCCACAAACGAAAATCATCATTTTACTCTTATTACTTTTGTGGTTGCTATAGTGGTCACTGAATATGAAGCTTTCTAAGGATTATCGAGTAACTTGTTTTACTCGTTAAAGTAATAGATCTTATGGCATTATTACTAATAATTTATTTTGAAAAGAGTGAATTTAAAAGGGAATTATTCCGGTAATATTATTAGTATCAGAAAAATATCAAGTATTTTGAAATATGCACTCGAAGAGTGAGAGGTATTTCACACATAACTCAGTATTTACCAGTAGGTAACAGTCATCAGCTGAGATGATTGGTATTGTACATATGTCTTATCAAAAAGTAACATTGATTTGTATTCTCCATCTATTCTCTACCACACCTCTTTTAAAAATCTGTTAATTTTCCAAATCACTCGGTAATACACAAATAAGCAATGCACTCAGAATGAATTGCTGCCCATAATTTCAGATGTTTGTGAGTAAACAGCTAAGATTTTGGGAGAGTCAACTAGTTTACTGATACACTGTTGTCTAAACAACTCGACTAACTAATATACTGAGATGAGGAAGTGAATACCCACCTAATTATTGAATTATGGCTTGAAATTATGTCCATCATAATAAGCCAAAATTACTCCGTCAACTTACCTATGTATATGACAGATTTGATGTCTCTTGGGGTTCTTGATAAAGTAGGACTACACTTGTTATTTGATGAATTCAATGGAAGTGTGAAATGAGACCCCGTAACAGCCAAAGCGATTGGTAATTGCAAGCTGAATAATATCTGTACAACATGATACATTATCACGTCTCTGCTTAACTGCTATAGTGTACTGTCAAAGCTAAAAATAAAACAGATAATAACAAACACTTTTTCTAGAAAAATCCAAAATAAAACTGGGTTTTCAAGTAAATCTGTGTATTCATTCGTAATCCGATAGTGTAAATAGTGCTATTTCCGAATTCAGGTAAATGACTCTCCAGTACTCTGTTGACTGTATCTCATTGGATTTCTAAATTCACACTTGATATTTTTTTACAGTAATTTTCCTTAGGTTATCTGTTACTTTAATGTTTTAGTAAGCCTTTGAGAATGCTCACTATTTAGAGGTTTCATTAAGAGGGTTTTACACTTTTAAGGTAGTTTTCTTCATACACAGACGGTGATAATGAGTAAGGTTTCTTCTTTTACTTGAAGGTGATTAACTTTCTAGTTCTACACTTTCCAGCAGATGTTGACTTTGTGTATGTATATACAAGGTATCAGGGGAGTGCGATTCATCTGCTTCTTCACGACAACTGGGAAGTGAAATACTGTTTAGCTTTTCTCTAAACATGAAAAGTTGAATCTACCACCCATAAAACTATAAAGAAAACTAAAGTGTTCCTTTATGAATTTGTTATATAAGTAAAGATGTGATAGTCATGCTTTTAAAAATGCATTCTCAATGCTTACTACTGTAAAGAAATCATCTACGATAGAGTCCAATGGAGACACTGCAGAGACTATACTTCTTTGGTTGTATATCATTTTATTTTGATTTGACTCACAATTTAATTATAACTCACTCAATTTTGATATTCCTGCTGTTAATTTCAAAGAAGCAACGTAGATAAGATAAAAATTCCATCAGCCTTTATAAACTAGAGATAAAGGTATAATAGTAGACTATATCCACCGGTCACGCAAATAACTACGGGAAATGCGTTGGTAAGGACTTTCCTTTTGTAGACCATCATATCTACATAATCAGATATATATATATATATATATATATATATATAAACTATTGAATAACAAGAGCGTATTATTTACTGGTTTAGAAAAATGACTTGAGATCAATTGTTATATAATAATAATAACAGCTTTATTCCAAACGGTATTTGTGGTACAGGTATGGAATTTCACAGCGTGCATTACAATATAGCATCTAATTACCTCATAAATTTTATAAGATTTTAAAATCAAAAGGCAGCACCAAAAAAAAAAGATAAAATAAAAAGAACAGCGTTGCGTTTACATTTTAAACAATGCACTACAGGATATGAAATATAAAATTAGTGTGTAATAGAAGATGAGAACAACAGAGTAATAGCAACGAGGAAAGGAAAACAAAAACTAATGGGGACTATTTGTTAGAATGCCACAGTAAGTTGATCGTGTCATACCTAACGGATTTCTCGTCACATAACAGCTTTGTCAAATATGGTATTGTGGAGTTTTTGTACTTGGTAGTCCCAGCATATAGCCTCCTGTAGCTGCTTCTAGTTCTACCAGATGAAATGCAAGGAGACAGCTGCGTATAGAGAGGATGCTCAGGGTCTGACAATATTGTATTCGCTAGTTTCTTACATAACATTATATGTCTATCCCCAATAGTATTAACCAGTTGGTTTAACGATATCCCACTTGCCCTACTAACGGCTTTAGTGCCCTTCTCAGCAGAGCAAAGTCTTTCTTAAGTAGTCCAGGAAAGATTAATGGGGAGAAGTAAAGTGGGATGGGTAGAATACAAGAATTGACAAACTGAGAAAGCAAAGACTGCTTTTTGCCGGACTATCCTAACTTCCTAATGTAGAACGTTAAGCGAAACATCTTTCTAGTAACTAGCAAGATGTGGGAGGACCAGGAAAGATCGGTGGAAAAACTCAATTCAAGGTACTTGACATCAGATGTATTTTCAACCTCTATGGCGTCAATGATAGTGGGGCCATGTGAACTAACTAGTTGTTGTAGGTCACGTTTACGTCTGAAAGTGAAATTGACTGCCTGACATTTAGACGGATTCGGCTTAAGACCGTTTGAAGGGGACCACTGACTAATTTCCGACAGAAAGTTATTTAATTTGGAGCAGTCTGACTGAGAGTTGACAGGCATATATCCTGAGAGTTGTATTAGTAGGTTTACTGAAAGTAAATAAACATTCATAATACTAATAAGACAGAACCAAGCCAAAACGATAAAATTCCAAGGGGCATGGAAAAAGCTACTTATGAATGCTACAGGATACCTGACATATTTTATATTTCTTTGGGAGGAATTATCAAATGATACCATTTATAAAATTTAAGACCGGTAAATTGTATATTGTAAACTTGTTAAAGGCGAGTAATAAATACATAAAGTATGAGAAACAAAATGAATGAGATTATATTCGGAAATGAGATAAACAGATGCTAACAAATGCGTGTGATGCAAAGATAGACTGATAAGAATTTATGTATATCAACGATAAGAATTTGGCTCTAGGGGTTGAAATTTAAGGGTAGTTTCACAGCAGTATAATGGGTTGATATAATTATTATTGATTTCTCATTATATATACGTACACGATGAAAACATACACTTTGCAGTGGGTTGGATTTAGTCTAGCATATAAATTCAAAAGATTGATCACGGGGACCTAAATAGCAAGAGTCTATGTGGTATTTCTACGATAGCTTTTTGTCAGTGAAATCGGATAATGTTCTACAGAACAAAGTCACTAACCCCATTGTGAATAAAATTTTGTGATAAATAAATTAAAATTTTATCCGTGATGGAGCTTTACTTTACCACAGTGCCCAAGTTTTATCCTTATACCTTAACTAACCATTATTACATCGATACTGAGATATGAAATTGTTTCTTGGAGTGACTTTCTCCTATGATTTTGAAAGATATACGACTAAAAATGAACTAAAATTTAAACAGAACGACATATTGTATTCGATTATTTCAATGGCATCCAGGACACAAACTATAATTATAGACGCAGTCAATTCAGAATTCGGTAAACAGAGAATGATAGTTATTAAAGTTTTAAATTCCAGTAAGCTTCGTTAGCAAACAAGCTTTTTTTCACTGAACTGATAGAAGAGTGGAATTTTAGCATTGTAGTAGTGCATAATTCAATCGTAGAATGATGGACAACTTAATGAATACTATTTTCTCCATCAACGGAACCATCTCCAAAGGCTGTTTGTTGGTGTTTATACTTAGCAAAAAGTATATTAGTCTGCTAGTCAGTAGTAGTAGGAGGAGGGGGTGACTAAATTGATACGAATACTCAGAGGTGGTTTGTAAAGGTAAAAAGAAATTATGTAATAGTCAGCAACGCAATTGAAGTAGGTATATGAGGCTTAATAAGATGAAAATTGTTATTCAATGAGAAACAAGATAGTTGAGTGTTTATTTGACTAGTGTGAAAAGAATGAGAAAAAAACCTAGTAAATTGCACAAAAGAAACATGTAAGAATGATAAGAGCGACTTAGTTAATAAAAATAGAAGAGGACAGGTGGGGAAGAACTTAGGACCATGTTAGCGCGAGAGACTGCAATGACCGTTTCTGCACACTAAACCCATGGTTGTATTGACTAATCGCCAGCACGCACTCCATATGCAAGTGCAGGAATCTAGCACCTCTTTTACTATGCGATTTTACCCTTTTCAAAAGACGACTCTGGTGAAGTTACATGCCCTGAGTTGATCATGTGCAAAAGAATTGACCCAGTGAATGTTTTACATTGTCATCTTGATAAATTTTTCTCAGCGATCTACATAGGTGGTTCTTTAGGATATCACCTCGGTTGTCGCTCTTAAATTCAGTGATCACAAACAGCAATCTTTTGGGTACCCTCTGGATTTTTCCAGGCTTCTGTGTTGCTTTCATGATTTCGCTATGAATTTTGTAGGATATCTGTTCACAATGAGGACTCGTCTGATTCTCACCAATTATGCATGTCCTTCTTGAGGATAAGTAATAGATTAGGTCTCTCCTTCTTTTCAAAGCGACCTAATTATGAAAAATTGTTTATTAAAAATTCCATGTTGGTCTCCTGTAGATTGACTTTTAAAAACAACCGTCGGATCTCTTTAAAAAACCATTCAAAAATGAAATTCAGGGCTCATCTCTGTTCCTATGTGAACTCTTTCGTTATCTTTTCAATGTAAGCATTCTTAAAATAAATCATGAACGTATCATTTGTGCACCTTTGGTAGGTATAGAAACTTAAATAACGGGTCGTAACGTAATATTTCATAGACTTATCACGAAGCAATCTGCAAGTAAAGGACCCAATGATGACCTTATTGCCATTCCGTCTTTTTGTCTAAATTACGTGTCATTGAACTTGAACTGGATATTAACAAAGCATCATATTAGTAGGCTCTTCAAACAATGGATTGGATCACTTACGTTCAAATTATTATCCTCGATGATTTTACATATAAAGCAAAAATCGAGAAGGACATTAATGAAGACAGAGATAACATCCAGAGATATAATTCTCACCCCGCATATACTAGGGTCGCTATTCATTGCCAACTCACTTTAAATGTAGATTCAATCAACATATAAAGTTAAGTGTTTTGAAGATAAAGTTGACCAACTTAACTGATTTTGAAATAATCATGTATTGTAAAAATATCACAGATATTCTAGGAGTCGTTTGCACAGTTCCCACTGTTATAATTATTTTCATTGTTCCAGGTGGAACATGGGGCTTCAGAAACACATATCCGCTTTGTCCTATTTTCTGCTGTCTTCTTCAGCTGGGTCTACGGTTGCATAAAATCTTTCATCTCCTCTTCGCTACATGATCTTCTCCATGTCATCCTTACATTGATGATCAGTTCATCATTACGCGTTTGGGTTCCACTTGAGAGATGGCCGGCACTGTGCGCGGTGTCATTTGACGGTCTCTTCAGTGTGTGCCGAATCCATCTCAATTTCCTCCTGCATATTTCTTCAACAATAGCTTCTTGGTAACTTTGTTCCCAGAGTTTCGTGGTGCGAATTCTTTCTGGCCGGCCACCATTTTGATCTTCAATAATGGGACCAGCGAAGTGGGCAGCTGTTG